TCTTGTTTACACCAGAGAACAGATTCTGTTGATGAGTAAGGGGTATTGAAGCATGAGCACGTTTTGGCAAAGGTGCCCTTAAGCTAAAATAATAACTTTAACTATCAGACCTGTCTCTTGCTACAGATTATTTTGTTTTCTATCTGAAGCTGGCTGAGTCTGGGGAAAGCAGGGAGTGGTGTGTTACAAGACTGTAGGGACAGGTGTTCTTTTTTCAGAAGATTTCATTTTGAGGAGATTAGAGCTTAATTAAATATTTGCTTGAGGAGACTTTCTACCTAAGAAGAACCCCCTTTTTCAAAGATAGGGGATGTTTCTTTCCCTCTTGCATTCCAGAGAAAAGCTGCCTCTGTGGGCAGTTCCTTGGAATGTGGAGAGGTAAAACAGATGTAACAGGCAGGCGCAGCAGAGAGGACAGAGGAGATAAGAGGCCTGGAAGAAAACAGGAGTTTGGGTTCTCCCTCTCAGGCCTAACACTGCTTTGCAGCTTTGTGCAGCTTTTCCTTTTTAGCGTTTTTAGCATTCGCGTCTTCAGAATAAACCTTTCCACTGCCTTGGCATTTTTGGTGGTACCTGCGTGTATCTTGCCGTACAAAGAGTGACTGCAAATGTTCTCAAGACCTTCTTGGAGACGGTGTGATTGGTGACATGATCACCATGCTCTTAGTGAGAGACTTTTTTGGACCTATGTAGTAACACCCAGGCTGAGCTTTGTTACTCATGTGGCATGCTGTGTAGTATATGCAATGCTGCCACTGGGTGTACACAATGTAAGTAGGCAGGATTTGAAAAACTTGAACCTCTAACCTGTCCTTCAGAGGTTATTGTGTTCTTGCCAGCATCATTCCTTGCATTCCTGCAGATACTCAGAGCTGGATGCATCAAAAGCTTGCTCTGTTTCCTTGGTAACTTGAAAACTTATACAGCAAGAAATTCAAAAGATTGGGATGGAGTGAAGACATGCACTGTTGTACTGTGCATTTCAGCTGTCTTTCTCTCAAAATAACCTGAGTTTGCAGTTTTGGAACACTGGGCCTGTGTAACAGTCATAGCTACGTGTGGCTTTTGGAGGAAGCCTGCAGCTTCAAGAACTTGAGGGTGAGATCTAGGATTTGTCAAGGAGTAGCCTGACTGACTGGTACCTTTTGTAGCATTTGGGTGACAGCACTCCAAGATCTCTCCCCAGGTTCTGTTATGTGGGAATGTCTCATTGCAGAACCTTTTTTTTTTGTTTTGTGCATTGAAGTTCCATAAATATATGGTAGTAAGCATAACCAAAAGAAGTGATTGTTAAATAAAAGGACAAAAGAGCTAAGGGAAGAGACATGAAGTTAGGAATACTCCATTTCAATTTAGTGAGTAAAAGGAAGTGATTCCTGTAGAGAGACTGTAGTCACTTGTTCACATGTCAGTGTTTCTCTTGTTCATCATACTGCCAGCAGCTAATACTTCTTGCACCCCACTGTTACAATCAGGTCCTCTTTAATGGCCACCTAACTCTGTTTCTTACAGTTTCACATACACAAAAGCTGATTATTTTTCTTGTAATTATGATTGCTTATGATTCCCAAGAATATTGTTTTCTTAATAGTAGTCACATAACAGTGCTCAGAGTTCAACTTATGGTTTATGTATGTGTTTATATGCTAGAGTTAAAATAAACTTGATATGCACCAGAGAAACATATAAGCACATTTCAAACACCCTGATATGCGTCTGAGAAGAGGTGTGAGCCAAGAGTGGTCTAAATGTTTATGTTCCAATTACCTTCACTGCTTGACTGTATAGGCATCATAATGAACCTTTAATTTCCCTTTAACTTGTGTATTGCAATTCATTAGATAAATTACATATTTCTTTTTCCTGTGTAATTTGTCTGACTGTTTGCATGTGTTTTCAAAATCAATTTTTTTTTCCTGTGAACATGTATACTCTTCATTTTCCTTTTCAGGTAGATTAGATGGTTGAAAAGTTAGTTATGAAATATAAAATAGTATGTGTGCTCCTAATGCTGTGAGAAAGCTTAATTGCTGAAACACGAAATACAGGAATGTTTTATATCTATATGTATTTACTTTTGGAACAAAATGCAAATCCCGCGTTGGAAATATGTTGCCAAATTATCTGATAATACAAAATGAGGTGTGTACTGTGGTGAACAAAAAGTACTAGTTTTGTCTAGTAAGATAAAAAAAACCTAGAAATACTATTAATAAAATGAGGGCCCGTCCTAACTTTCTTTAAATTTTGTCTGAGTATTTAATATCCCCTCACCAGAACTGCTTTCTGAGAAAGTGTTGTGGGATAAAACCTACAAAACATCTTGGCCATGGTTTCTGAAAACCTTGGCTAGTATAAATCAGCAGAAATTCTGCTGCTGAACTCCAGAACAAATACCCAACTACAAATAATATGGATAATTATTGGATTAACATGTATATGACATCCTGATTAGCATTTAACATTTAAAATTTTTGAAAAAATATTATTTTAATACCTTGTAAGGGACGATGAGATATTCTTTTTTTTAAAAGAAAGAAAGAAAAAAATAACTGGGTTTTTGGGGTTTTTTTCTTTTTAACATGTTTTTGTTTGTCTTTTCAACTGCTTTAAAAAGATTTCCACTTCATGATAAAGAGCGACTTGAGAAATGGTTGCGGAATATGAAACGAGATTCATGGACTCCAAGTAAGCACCAGCTTCTGTGCAGTGACCATTTTACCCCTGACTCCCTTGATGTGCGATGGGGTATCCGATACTTGAAACACACTGCTGTACCAACAATCTTCTCTTCCCCAGATGATGAGGTAACCTAATTTTATCTTTTTTTTATTGTAGTACAAAGATAACCAACTATAATATAGATGTTCTAATTACCTAATTATCTGTAATATAATCATAATATAATCATAAATTATTTTAAAAATAGAATTCCTGTCCGTTAAAATAGTTTGTCAACAGGACTGACACAAAACATATGTGTGAGATTCTATAGCATAAAGGAAGAACGACTGACCATACTCTGACTGGAGCTTCAGTATCTTTTTAAACTGGAAATTACAGAAGCATTTACTATAGAAAAATTTAAATTCTTCATGAGAATGATTCTAAATTTTTTTCCAGTGCAATTAATCTTAATATTTAATGTTCTTTTCAGACCTTTTATTAACTGTACAGAAATACTGGTTTTGGATTGTATTATTTTCAAACTACACATTTCTCTTTCCTGTTCCTAACCTCTCTAACACCTAAGAGCTCAGGACTGTAGGCTGCCAAAGATATCCTACAAAGACTATTCCATCTTGTCTTTCACAGGATTGTAATATTGGTTACATAAAAGTACTGTACTACACAAGCACCTGATCTTGGTGAAAGCTATGCTAATTCTCTTCTAATGTGTAACTGTCTTCCTCTGTATCATCACGTTGCAGATGGGAGAAATGGGAGGACTGGAATTAAAGCTAAATTGATGAATCTGAAATATGTGGGTAATTAATTTTACAAAACAAATAATATTTAATCAAGAAGTACTTTATCTTCTTGGACAGCTGCAACTGTTGTCTAGACTGCTTTTGACTATCTAGAATGAAAAGCAACCTTGATAAATCTCTCAAATATAAAAACAGAACATCTTTCAATTTATGGCAGTAGTAACCTTAGCAGGAAATATCTTTCCAGTACCCCCCCCACCTGCTTCAATATATCCCTCACTTCCCTGTGCTGCTGTTGTAGCAGGGAGCTTTGGAACTGAACTTTGCTGCCCCATGCTTCTGTGCTATTACAGATAAGCTGTGTGTTTTCACTCCAAAGAAAAATTGTGTTTTCCCATGTCTTCATTCTTTCTTGATTTGCATGTGACCATAGACCAGTCATAGTACACCTACAAAGATGGACAGTGGAGTTACAAAGGTAACAAACTTTTTATGTAATGCCGTTGCCAAGAGCATACCAATGGCTTCTCTAAATTATTTTTGCATCAGCAATATATATCTGAGAAATCCCAGATGGATTTATCAAGTTTGGAAAAGTAATATCCTATGCTTCCTTTCAATAAATCCAATCACTTCCCCACTACCAAAAAAAGAGAGATGCCAGTTCTTCATACCTGTGATGCTATGACCTTGTTTTGCTGGGATCTCACTTCTCTCTCTGGCGTCACTTTTTTCTCACTGCACTTTTCTAAACATCAAGTCATATCCTGTTGATGACCACCTCAGCAAATCAGCAGTATCTGTTGACTTGACCTCTGGTTCTGTACTTGCCCAAACCTTAATTTTCTACATAGACTGAATATTCAAAAAGATATAGGAAAGAGTTCTCCTTACTTTGGGGAAGAATCCTTTGTTAGTGTGTTCCTGACTTAATGTAGAGGAACAAGAAGCTAAGGCCCCAAACTGCATTTGGAAAGCTGAGAGTGAAAAATTGTATATTTGCATATTGTTCACTACCAACTTGCTTTATGTATTACCAAGAAGTGAAGGATATCTTCCCAGAAATGCTAAATGATTTTACTAGAAGAAAATGACACTCACTATTTTTTTTCACTGACTGACATACAAAAGAGCTCATTTGCATAATGATCTTAAATGTAATCATGTAGTGATGTAGTTAATGGGAAAGGGGGGGAAAAAAGGTGTCTAAAAAAGGATAAGCTTCAAATTGTCTCTCTTTCAGTATCAACTTCTGTTTAAAGTCCTGTTAACATTGCATTGTTCTGCTAAGATTTGTATCTATCAAAGAAGTAATTTAAGAATTGTAAAGTTTAATTGTCAGAATTGAATTGCTGGTTTAAAAATCAGCCTATGTGATTGTGCATGAATATGTTTCATTATTCAGCAAGCCTGTGTTCATAATCTTTTTTGTTGTTGCTAAATTCTGTTTGGCATATCCTGCATGAGTAAAAGTTTGCTACATCTTTCTAAAACAACTTTGATGCATCTTTAATGCAATAATCTTGTACTGTGTACATTTAATATATTAATATATTTAATACAATATTTTAGGTGGTAACAGGAGATGCTACCCAGTCTTTGTGTAGTTGCTTCTCTTCAAGTGCTTTTAAAATTACTGTCCTATGTAAAACAGTCCACATTCCTTAGAGTTCAAAAAAACCCAAACAACAAAACAAAAAAACCCCACAACCAAAAAACAAAACAAAACCAAAAACTGTTATTGCCGTTAGAGCTTTAAAATAGTATTTTAACATTTAGGACCTGAAGCAAAGTTACAGAAGATGCTTACATGAATTTTTGGACCTCTGGTATAATTTGCGCTGTACTGAGTCCACCCTTTAATCCTGAGGTTCATCTGCTGGGGCCGAGCAAGCTTGGACAGTGGCAGTGAGGTCCTCAGAATGTAGGTTTGTTTAGAGTGACCTTCTCTTAGATGGATTGCCTTACAGGGCTGACGAGCTCCATCTGCCCAGGGGGCTGGGAATCGAACCCGGGTCGCAGCGGTGAGAGTCCTGCACCCTAACCACTAGACCACCAGAGGCCCCAATTTTTAAACAGTGCTTGTCTATATTACTCCTTATCCCATACCATGGTATAGAATGAGATTTGCCTAATTTTTTAATTTTTTTTCTCCATCAGGAAAAAGATTGTTCTCAGAAGAGTCCACAAGAAATACAGAGACAAGACCTGGAAGAAAAAAATGTAGTGTCAGAGAAAGCATCTGTACCACTTGAACCTTGTGCACCAAAGGAAAATCCTGTAATTGCAGAAAACGTAGAGGAAGAAGCAGAAGTAGTTTGCTCAGCTGCATTCAGTAAACCTTTACATATTCAAAACCTGCAACTTCAAAATGAAGACAACTTTCAGGCAGAGAGTGTCGTTCTTGATAGTTCATCTACACAGCATATACATCAACCTAATCCTGTTTTAAGGGCAGCAGCAGTCCACAGCATGGAAGCTACCAGTGTTCATACTTCTGTGGAGGATCCAGGAGGCTGTGCAGCTACAGTCTTGCAATTTACAGATCCTGACTACATGAATTCATCTCTGAAACTAAACAGTGCTGTAGGGCCAATTCCTGATTATGCAATTGAAAATCCTGTCCCTCACGTTGTCTGCTCTGGTGAAGTACAGCCAGCAAGTGAAGATGCAGTTTTACTGAGTACAGTCACACAAAATATTGAACAGTTCAGTGGAAGTGAAGAATCTGTCATTGCTATTATTGTGCCATCTGAGAGTCCAGAACAGCCTGAAATAGTAAATAGTTCTTTCCTGGCTGTTAAGGAAGAGTTTCTTGACACTGAGGAGACAGATATGATTGAATATGGTGGAAGTGAAATATTACAAACTGAGCATTCATACTGCAAACAAGACGTAGACAGAGATCACCTTTGGCAAAAAATTTCAAAACTCCACTCTAAGATAACTTTACTTGAAATGCAGGAGGTAAAAACTTTGGGGAGACTCAGGTCCTTGGAAGCTCTTATTGGACAATTGAAGCAAGAAAACCAGCTTTCTGAAGAGAAACTGAAGACAGTAGAAAACTGCTTTACAACCCTTGAAGTAACTATAATACAGTAAAGGCTTTCACTGATGGTTCTAAAATATCTTTTTAGTCTCTTTGACAGTCCTTTTGGACAAATTAACTTTTGTTTCCGTCATAGTGTTTTAAACATCTGATGCAAATTATGTGACGAGCAAATATTCTTTAAAATGTTACATCAGCCAAAGCTAGGTGGTAGACTATTGCCTGTAAAACATGACTTGCAAGTAAGCTTAAAAATCCCCTCTCAATTGGGTGACTTTTTCTAAAAAAGTGAGTGAATTGAATCAATAAAGTCAAGTTAACCCTTTCTAGCTGCAGCCTCCTCCAAAACATGCAGCTCCTGCATTTGAGGCAGCAGTAGAACAGACAGAATAAGCATATGAGATGGACAATTATAAAATCGTTGTTTTAAAAAAAAAAAGTGTCCCAATTCTCTTTCAAATGAGTAAAGAGATATGTAATATGCATTTTTCAGTGAGACCAAAATTGCTCTTTAGTCTTCTGTTCATCTAACATTTGTTCTGGTAGTTTTTTGTACACTTGGATCTTACTAAAATTGTTTCTGCAATAAAAGGTGTTGCCTTTCATTTGGTTCTCGAAATAAAAATTCTCTAAGAATATTGTTCACTCCCCTTTATTGATTTTATTAACTATTTTGAGTTATGGGGTACCACTACAGTAGACAGATACTACAGTTCATTTTGAGGGAAATTAATTTGCTTAAATACTTGCTGCTTACTCTTGTCTGTTTGCCACCCCTTGGATCTAGAGTTTGCTGTACACAGAACCAGCACTAGATCATCCATTCCAACTGTACATTGTGGCTGGACTGGATGATCATTGTAGGTCCCTTCCAGCTGAACTATTCTGGGATATTCTATTCTACAGTGATTAGACTACTTGAGGAACTCGGTTGTGATTTCCTTTACTCCAGAATCGTGTCATCCCCACCACTACAAGTTCAGTCCAGGACTGGAGCAAACGGGTTCCTTTGCAGTCTGTTATTCGTATTCTCTTTCAGACACATTCTAAACTGTCCTGGTAATTTTTTCATATGGAATTGAGGATCAAGCAACACTAAACAAAGCTGGCCTCCAACTAGATAGGTTGCAAACTAGTCACATTTCAGAGAATTTTTGAGACTTAGAGTATCTGTGCAGAAGTTGGGCTGCTAAAGCACAGAGCTGTAGGAAGTTAGTCGGTATCAGTAACCAGTTAAGCTAAGTAACCAGTTAGGCTTGTTTTGTTTTTCAACTAGTTATCTTCTTGTAGGCTTTATGCACAGGATATGCTTGGTAATATTGCTAAAGGACATAATGGTCACTTATAATATGATGAATTATTTACTGGGAGTCTATGACCCACTGATTTTGTTCCCTCTTATTATCTCATTTTATTCCGTCTTATTACTCCGTATAACAAGAGAACACTCCTGTTCTGCCTTGTGTGCTCTGAAATCGCAAGGGATGTCCTGTATCCTCTAGAAACATTGCTGTTATATAGAATCCAATCTTGTGAACATTTTTCAGGTGGCTTCTCTGAACTGCACATTTTGTAATTTTTGCTAAGTAAGAGATCTTTCAAAGTGATTTACAAAATGCTGTATGAAATTGCTAAACGATTTTAGAGGTTTCATTAATGTCACTACAAATCCTCTGCTAACCCTGTATATTTGAAGGCTGATCATGCGCTTCAGAAGTACACTGTAGGTTTTGGATGGCAATGAGAGCTTGGACATGGCAAAAGAGTTGCTATACTTCAAGCTATTATCTCAGCAAAGCTCTATTCCCAAAGAAAATGTGGGAGTTTTAACACAGTATTTGCATTGCTGATATGTTTTTGCTTTTAGTAATAGCTTCCAGTATTAAAATTGAGAACATTATTTTTCACATAGATTTCTTTAAACCTGAGGAAAAAACCCACAAATGTTCAATTTTCCTTTTTTTTTAACAGAGTTTCTTGGGACTATATTAGAACAACTCAGTAACTCTACAAGTCTGTCACCAAGTCTACAAATTTCCCTTCTATAGTGTGTTTTGGGCCAATGGGCCCAAGGTAGACGTATTACTTTAAAAATATTTACATTATAGGTGGCTATTGTTGCTTACAGGAAGATACAGCTGGTTCATTTGCTTCAGTAATAAGCTGACACTGAATTACTCAGGCTAATTATTACACAGAAGGAAAAGTAGCATGTTGGAAATGGCCACACCCCACTGAATTAGATGCTACATGTACATTTTGTTTTCAGTGTTTCCTAATCATAAACTGTACAGCCTTTGCACACAATTTTATTTCACCAAACCTGATGGGCACTTGAAGGTGCTGTATTACTCCTTAAGATCCAGTGGAAACTCCTTTTGTACAGTCACAACCCAGCATCAAAGCAGTGCACTGAATCATCATTCCTTCTATAATGTATTGGGCTTATCTTGATCCAAGTCAAATGTCCTCACGTTTTCAATAATTTTTCATTTGCATCACCTTTTTTTAAGCTTCTGACTTTCAATTTCCACTAATGCAATTAACTGTTCTAATACTTTATAGATTTAACAGATGGCATCTATTTTATTAATTCACCCCTTTAACTGTTCAGTTGTATTTCTTTACCACTGTCCACTGGCTACTGTAGGAATTCGGCATTTGCTTTCTCTTATACCTTCATTTCAATTCCACCAGTTTTGTTAAACTTGCCTACAATCAGTGTGGTTCCATCTGGAATAAATTGGTGCCCATTTCCCCTGATTTTCCATCTTCTTTACGAGGTGGAGTGTGAAGTTTTATTTCTTTCATTCTGAATGCAGGGACAGGTACAGGGGATTTTTTCTTTCTGTCAGACTGATAAGTATCCAGGACTTCTGTGCCTTCTTGCATCAGTGGTGCAAATATTGACTGCACTCTTGCATGCATCACAAGTATTCATTACAAGTCTGTCTAGATCTCTCATTAGATGTCTTCGATCCTTTTTCAAAGTCTTTTTACCACAGTGAAGTTGTAATTATTCCACTTAAACCCTCTCCTACTCTTGAGTCTTGGCTCCTGCATTAGAAAAGCTAGCAGCAGACCTGGGCTCACTCAAAATGCCCTATTGGTTAGTAATTGTTATCTCTTTTCTGTTTTGCCCAAGCTAGTCCATGATGGGTGCTCTGGATGGGTGCCATGGGGTCCAGCTGTGCCCATGTCGACCACAGGGCAGTCACCTGCAGTGCCTCCAGTGAAGGGACCCCCTGGGACTGCAGTGCTGCTGGGCTCTAATGGCACAGTTCGATTCGTGCTAGAGGCTGCCTTCTCTTCAGTTAAGCTATATGCCACATTTTAAAAATTGCAGTTCCCTCCATCTCCTGACATCTTCTGTAATGGTTGCATTTCCTTCATACATAACCACACTGCTGTTTTTGGCTGGTACAGTTCATTTTCTTCACAGTAGCTGATATGGGGCTGTGTTTTGGATTTGTGCTGGAAACAGTGTTGATAACACAGGAATGTTTTAGCTATTGCTGAGCAGAGGTTACAAGGCCTTTTCTACCTCTCACCCCACCCCACCAGCGAGGAGGGTACACAAGGAGTTGTGAGGGGACACAGCCAGAACAGCTGACGCCAACTGACCAAAGGGACCCCAGACCATACTCAGCATATAAAGCTGGGGGAAGAAGAAGGAAGAGGGGTGTGTTTTGAGTGATGGCATTTGTCTTCTCCAGTCACCATTACCCATGATGGAGCCCTGCTTTCCTTGGGATGGCTGAACACCTGCCTGCCCATAGGAAGTGGTGAATGAATTCCTTGTTTTGCTTTGTTTACATGTACAGCTTTTTCTTTCCCTATTAAACTCTCTTTATCTCAACCCACAAATTCTCTCTATGTTTCTGATTCTCTCCCTTATGCCACAATGGCAGAGTGAGAAAGTAGCTATGGTTGCCGACTGGGGTTAAACCACAACACACACTTTGGTCCCCACTGCCCTGTGTACAACTCGATCCTGCTCTTACTGGATAATGCCACTTAACTGCAGGTTAAAGTCATACGTGCAAATCCGCACTCCTGCAGTTCAGCCTGTATCCAGTACTGCCTCAGCAAAGCGCTAGGCACAGCCTATTCCAGCCTTTCCATATCGCAGTGAGATGGTCTAACACCCAGGGACCCCATTATGTTGCCAGGTGAGAGCTCATGCTGGCAGGGGCTGCCTGCAGGCTCTGGACCCCTACAGCCATAATTAGTTAATTATGTCAATGACAGTGGTAGACTCTGTTAGAGACTACAGTGGTAGAGACTGAGGTAAATGCTCAAATTCCTTTGCTCTTTAGAGATTTTAAACTTCATGACAGTAGGGCAACGAAACCTAGAGCCTGCTTTTGTGAGAGATGGGCAAACCCAGCAGACACTGTGAGCAGCAGACAGTATTTTAACCACCTAGGAAGAACTAGACAAATTCCACACCCTGCCTTGAGGAAAAGTCTGTCATGTGTTAGTGGCAAGTGACTTGGTCCTTTTCTATAAAGTCCACAAGCAGGAAGCCTCATGCTGTGTTGTAAGGCTGGAGGGGAAATGGCACCTGCACACATGGGCCTTAGGAGAGATGCTCAAGGCATGGGAGATGCTTGGGGGACAGGGAGTAAGGAGCAGGCTTTGGCATTTGCACTGGCAAAAGTGCTTTCCTGTGAGGCATCTCTGCAATGTCAATGCAGCACCAGTTGCAGGTGCTGTCCCTTCTATGGGTTTCCACATGCTAGGCACAGCTCAAAGATACAGGGAAAACCAAGTAATGCACTGGAAGGCATGGATCACCAGCACCAAGGCAAGAAGGAAGAGAAACAGAAAGGGAAAAGGACAAATTACATGCTCATCAACAACTTAAACATTAACATAGATTTAGACAAAAAATATTCTTTTCTCATTTACAAAAGCATTTTATGACTTACTTACACAAGCTAATTTAAATTTCTGCAACCTCAAGTGGATCTCTGGAAATGCTTTAGCATTTTATTCATGCTAGATCTTATAAAAATATTATTGCTCTATTTTCTCCTCCACTGAAACTAGTGTAATGCCTTTCTAATTTACCTGACCATTTAGTGCTGCAGAGATGTGAGTTTCAGCCAAAATATTTCCCACAAAGAAAACAATAAGAACAAAACATCTAAACAGACTTTTTCCAGTAAATATATCTCTTGTCATTATTATATATTATGGGATACATTGCGAAAAGTCTATCACCATTTAAAATGGTTAAACTGTAGAGATGCTTTTAGAATATATATTTACATATAAACCCAGTATATATTGCATGTATCTGAAGCAGCAGTGTTCCCTGTAAGCAGCAGGTGGTGCTACTGGATCGCTCTGTAGGAGTCAGACCAAAGACGTGCATTTAATTTTTTATTCTGTTGTTATCGAAACCGTATGGAAACAGATTAACTATGGGCAGCAGGGGGAGGAGGTGTTTCCTTATATTTCAGCTGCATCTTTAATAAAGAAGGGTAGTACATGAACAAAACAGGATGACTAATTTGCTTCAATATTACAAAAATAAAGATTCAGACAAGAAACTTATTTATATTCTGAGCATAAAACATGAAATTCGAGAGCCTACTGCTCAAGTGAGTGGCAAAAGGAGATGTATTCGCTGTCCTTACGTGGGACATGATTCCATACCTCATTTGTTGAAGTGGGTCAGTGATTACAGTTTGAATCCTGTAAACAGTTTAGCGTTGCTTATTTGCATATTAATCAGGATAATAGTGTGAGTATTTAATCATACCCTTCATCAGGGGTGTCTGCTTTGCTACTCAAGTACTGAAACCATGCTTTTGAAACCAGGAAGGTATGTGCACAACAGCTTATGCATGGCATAATCCCCTCTTAAGTGTCATGGGACAAATCTTGCTGTGAGAATACACAACTTCAGATAATCAGAATAGGAGAATATTGGTAGTGCACATTCAAGGAAGTTTCCGCTTGCTTATTTCAGTGTTACTTTCAAAGTATAACAGATAATCAGGTGTTACAGTAAAGGTTAGAAGTACCCATGTGATTTTCTGAAAGAATGGAACAGGGCAGCCACAGTGGCATTGCAAAAACAGATGGTGAAGGAAGATGTGTCAAAGTAACCACTGGCTTCAGAGGCATAAAAGCCTCAGGGTGGTTAGCAACTCCACCACAGCCTCCTGAAAGCAATTGTCTCACCTGACTGGATATCTCCCTCATGAGGTGCACCACAAGTAAGAAATATTTGATACAAAGAGGAAGAAATTAACTGAGGAAATGCCTATTTATCTACTCACTATAGCCAGGGGGGTAGATATTTCAGATTTAGATATATGGTCTGATTCCAACGGGATGAGGTTCAACAAGGCCAAGTGCTGGGTCCTGCACTTTGGCCACAACAACCCCATGCAGCGCTACAGGCTGGAGAGCAGCCAGGCAGAAAGGGACCTGGGAGTTTGGATGGACAGGAAGCTGAACATGAGCCAGCAGTGTGGCCAGCAGGTGGCCAAGAAGGCCAATGGCATCCTGGCCTGGATCAGGAAGAGTGTGGCCAGCAGGACCAGGGAAGTGATTCTTCCCCTGTACTCAGCACTGGTGAGGCCACACCTGGAGTACTGTGTCCAGTTCTGGGCCCCTCAGTTCAGGAAGGATATTGAGGTGCTGGAGCAGGTCCAGGGAAGAGCAACAAGGCTGGTGAAGGGACTGGAGCACAAGTCCTCAGAGGAGGGGCTGAGGAAGCTGGGGTTGTTTAGCCTGGAGAAGAGAAGGCTCAGGGGAGACCTTATCACTCTCTACAACTCCCTGACAGGAGGTTGTAGCCAGGTGGGGATTGGTCTCTTCTCCCAGGCAACTAGCAGTAGGACAAGAGGGCACAGTCTTAAGCTCTGCCAGGGGAAGCTTAGGTTGGATATTAGGAAGAAATTTTTTAGAGAGAGAGTAATCAGATATTGGAATAGGCTTCCCAGGGAGGTGGTAGATTCACTGTCCCTGGAGGTTTTTAAGATGAGACTGGATGTGGCACTTAGTGCCATGGTCTAGTAACCACAGCGGTGTTGGATCAAGGGTTGGACTTGATGATCTCAGTGGTCTTTTCCAATCTGGTTGATTCTATGATTCTATGATATATATGTGTTATAAATACCTGAAGTTCCCTCAAATAAATCTCACCTGTTTCAAAAAGTAAATCACTTTGAGTTCTCAGACAGGGACAAGTTTGAAAGACTAAAGGCTAATATAAAATAGTCTGGCACAGCAGTCCTTCCAAATTGTGCCTCAATTTTCTGTACAGGCAGTGTTAAGATAAAGACCTTTCAAAACTCCAGAGGGGATTTTGCTCAGATATTTCATTTACATAGATACAACCTTTTCTTCCCCTGAAGATTTTGAAAGACACCACTGTCTCTGTAAGAAATATGTACAAGTAGAAAAACTGATTGACCAGGTGTCTGCCTTAGGCAGAGTATATCATGAGCACAAGTCTCGGTGTTGCAGAACATCCTCACAAGCCACAGGAGTTCTGCATTGCTTCATGAATAATAAAAACTGGTTGTAGTCAGACACATTTGACCTCTTACTGGCCCTTGGGACTGAAAATAAACTTTTTGCTGCTACAGCTTCACTCTAGAGTAGTAACAAACACCACGAAGAGGTCTTTTTCAGCCATGTCTGCTTGGGTAAGCACGCTATAGATCACAAATAGCAGCAGTCTGTTCTGTGTTCTGAGTCAATAGACTATGAGGCTACATAAGACTAGGCTTTAGGAGTTCTCAATGACAAGAA